CCCGGGAGAGGAGTATAATTTCCACTTGTCAGAAGCATGATGTAGCACTTAAGCATGTGACACCTGCTACCTCCAATGTGAACACAACTCACAGCCTTTTATTCCGGGAATGATAAGTAGGGCACATCTTTCATCACAGGAAAGATTAAAAACAAAGAAGCCCTGAGCTCTTCGGATAGAGCAGCGGTGCGGGCTGTGCTGCTGCTGCCTGAGACGACATTGGCACCAAGCGGTACCTTCCTGCGTCCCTGTCCAAATAACACCCCCACTCCATCTTCCCGGTCAGTTAGAAGCCGGAAGCCTCACGTTACAAATGCAGGAACAGAGGTTCAGGGAGGAGAAAGGACTTGCTCAAGCCACATGGTGAATTAAACCCAAGTCTACTGACTTCTAGGGCAACACAACTATAAAAACAGCGGTAACAAACCCATTCCTTTGAGGCCTAATTGATTTTAAAGCTCTTAATATGAGAATGCGGAGAGGGCAGGCGAGGAGGGAGGAGGGCGGGAGTAGTGAGGCTGGGGAGCAACCAGAGACCTTGGCGGGGGCCAGGGCACCTCCTGGGGGAAAGGGGAGATGGAGGCTGGGGCCTGGCTGGGTTATTTTCAGAGCTGCTATCTTTGCCTGCATCTGCTGAATTATTAAACTGAGACAGTATCCTAGAGGGTGCCAGGCCAGGTTGCCAGGAAGAGAGTGAAAGGCGGGGTTGGATTTCTTAGAGGAGACCTGGAATCTTCCACAGGGATGGGAGGGGATTCTTCAGGTCTCCACCTCCACCCATCCCCACTGAAGGAGGGGATCTGGCTGGGGCCACAGCCACACTCGGGCAAGGCTCTTCTGTCTCCACTAGCTGCTCTCCCGGGGGCGCTGGGTACAGACCTGACGGCATGGCACGCAGAATCTGACCCGGGCTGCCTCTTCTCTTCTGGGTCCTCAGCCTCAGACCACATGTTTTGATCAGACGGTCATAACCAATTTGTGAGGTCTTGGGCAGATCCTTGCATCTGTGGATGTCCTTGTCTATGCGGCAGGCATTAGCAGTTCCATGTCTCACATGACGATCCTGAAGTCAAAGGCCTTTCTTAGCGCTACAGAGCCAGGGAAGGACTGAACTTCTACCCAAACACAAGTCTCTTGGACACCAGGCCTCTTCTCTCTCTTTCTCTCTCTCTCTCTCTTCTTTTTCTTTTCTTTTGAGGCAAGGTCTCACTATGCAGTTTAGTCTGACCTTGAACTCAATATGTAGCCTAGACTGGCCTCAAACTCCTGGTGATGCTCCTGCCTCAGCCTCCCAAGTACTGGGATTATAGATGTGCCCAGCTCTCTTTATTCTTTTTTTCTCTCTCTTTATTCTTTTTAGAGCATTTCTTCTCTATTTTGTTTCCTATAAAAGGAATGTATAGCCGGGTGTGATGGCGCATGCCTGTACTCGGGAGGCTGAGGCAGGAGGATCATTGCAAGTTGGAGGCCAGCCTGGGCTACACAGTGAGCTTAAAGTCAGCCTGAACTGCATAGCGAGACCCTGTCTCAAAAAGACAAAAAAAACAAAACAAAAACAAAAACAAAAGGAATGTACAATTTCTAGAAAGGCTAGGTTTGGTGGCACACACCTATAATCCCAGCACTCGGGAGGCTGAGGCAGGAGGATTGCTGCGAGTTCAAGACCAGCCTGGGCTACAAAGTGAGCTCAAGGCCAGCCTGAACTGCACAGTGTGACTCTGTTTCAAAAAGAAAAAAAAAATTTTTTTTAGAAAGATCAAAAAACCATACGACTCATGATAGTTTAAAAATGCAAAGCTGCCAGGTGTGGTGGTGCATGCCTATAATCCCAACACTCAGGAGGCTGAGGCAGTAGGATTGCTGCAAGTTGGAGGCCAGTCTGAACAAACTCATAGTGAGTTTAAAGCCAGCCTGGAATACATATGGCGATTCTGTCTCAAAAAGGAAAACAAAAAAAAAGCTAGGGATGAGGCTCAGTAGCAGAGTGCTTGCCTGCCATGTGCAAAGCCCTGGGTTTGATCCTCATTGTGTGTGTGTGTGTGTGTGTGTCCTCTCATTCTAAATGCTATGTATGCCAGGTTGGATGGTTGGTTGGCGGTGGTTTCTGTCCACTCCTGTGAGTATGAAGCTCAAGCCAGTTAAGTTAAGGAAGATGGCAAGAAGACTGGCAGATGCCAAACCTCTCTCATGTCTAGGCCTTTGGATCAGGGGCTCCCACCTACAATTCTCCTCCCTCTCCCTTCCCATCTCTGCATCATTTGCTTGGGTTCATCCTTCGGTCTCAGTTTAAATTCTACCTCCTAAAAAAAAATAAATAAATAAAATAAAAATCCTTTTCTTTTATCTCCGTGGTCAATCAAATAAAATGAAACCTCTTAAAATAAATAAATAAATAAATAAATAAATAAATAAATAAATTCCACCTCCTGGGGCTGAGGGTTTCTTTAGTTCAGTGGTGAGTGCTTGCCCGGCATGCCTCAGACTCTGGCTTTCATTCCCAGCACAGCAATAAGGAGCACGCAGTGGTTAAATAGCATCTTCGGCTGGTTTCACGCTCCTCTGTGCTTCCCAGTCCTGACGGAAACCTTACTGCACTGTGAGGACCTGTCCAGAGCCCTCTGAACTCACCGGAAATGGGGCACCTGGGCTTGCTCTGCTTCCCGCAGCCAGCCCAGCAGAGGTGGGAATGATCAAGCTGTTGAATGACTGAAACAAAGCATGGATGAATAAATGAATGGAGAAGGGGGGCTCCATGCTTAGCAAGCTCTATCTTTGTATTATTTTCAATTAAAACAAAAATTTGTTGGGCTTGGTGCTGTAGCTCAGTGATAGGGTATTTGCTTTGCATGTGCAAGGACCTGGGTTCAATCCCCAGCATTCCTTAAAAAAAAAAGTTCATTAAATGCCTTATGGAGCCAGGCACTCTGCTTAACTTTAGAGGATTCTAGTGATGAGCAAAACCAAAATAAACACATGTGTGTCTCTAACTTGTGTGGAATGCCACACAGGACAGGAACAGGGACTACTGTCAGAGAATAATGGGGAAGTGAGGTGACTTTGGGGGACGTAGGTTTTTCATCACACAGAAAAGGCTCCTAATCCTACTCTAAAGGGATGTGAAGAGACAGAGAACACTCACTCAGTAATTATTCTTTAATGCACCGGGGATTGAACCCAGGGTCTTTAGCGTGACAAGTGCACACTGTGCTACTAGTAGAGCTACCCTCACAGTCCCAGCCCCCTCAGAGAATTTGGTGTCCCAGGCCTTCCCACTCAGAGAAATTAGTGCCCAGGTCCCCCAGAAGGAGCGTGTTGGTGGCTCTGGAACACAGATGGGACTGGCTTGCCGGATCTGGCCCATGGTGGGGTAGGGCTGGGGGTCATTCCAGGTCTTGCTCCCCACCATCTCCCATAAACTGGGAGCGGGGATCTGCCAGATGCGGGCAGAGCACCTGTCAACCTCCCCACCCCAATGGGAGGGCCTCTGTACAGAGAAAGACATGAGCTGAGCCTTCTGCCCTGCAAGCCTCCTCCAGCACACTGCAGCCATCAGCACCAGCCCTTTCCCTGGGTCCATCACCTGCTCTGAAGGCCCTTCTTCATCTCACTGAGCCCTCGCCCTCGCCGAGTCAGCCCTCCTTTCGCCCGCCCTCCCTGCTCTCGGAGGCCTGCGGAGCCGCCTCTCTGGAGCCAAGCTGTGTGTGCGCGAGGCCCCATCGGGCAGGCAAAGCACCTGCGAGCACGCAGCGTGCGGGAGGGGCTCTCGCCTCAGTGCCAGGCGCTCTCTGCAGCCTCCTCTTCGGCCTGGGCACGGCTCACGGGGGCAACGTCTTTCGCTGCCCCCATCCGCAGCCCCGGGTCTGCTGCAGTCCTTCCCAGTGGCTTTCAGAGCTGGTTTCCGGCCTTTCACACCTTGTTCCCTCCCACATAGTCACCTCTCATCTTGGACGACACCTTCAAGCAGGGGGAAACCCAGGTAGGACCATAAGGTCCCAATAATGCCTGGAAAGGGAACAGCCGGGCCACTACTGCTGCTTGGAAAGTGGGCAGGGGTCATGCTTTCATTCTGCCAGGATGACGAAAGTCCCAGATACGGAGGGTCCCTCCACGACAGGCGACCTGAGTGTCCGAGCCTCCTGGCGTATGAATGACCGAGCTGGTGCACTTCTGTCCAGATTGAGCCACCAGCCGGCAATGTGACCTTGGGCAAGGCACCGCGGCACCTTCTATCTCTTCTCCCTTCCACGTAAATGGTGTGGAGACATCTGCTGGGAGGAGCACGCAGAGGCCGGGGAAGAACTTTGCATCCTTGGGGGTCTGAGGCTGGGCGGGGGGCACCAAGGTTTGCGGGCTCAGCGGCTGCGCTGCGGTGCTTCTCCTGCAAGCGGAGGGCCTGACTGGCGTGGAACCAACTGCCCAGAAGCACATCCTCCCGGGACGCCCCTCGCCCCTCTTCCTCAACCGCTCCGTTACCCCTGGTAGAAAGGAGGGGCTCCTGGCCAACCCTGTTGCCTAGGAGACCAGGCAGCAACCGATTCAGCCAACTGGAGGCTCGAGGTACGCGAAGGAGCACTGCGTAAGGGGTCGAGGCGCCCTGAGTTCCAGGGCAGGCTCTTACTGTCACGCGGGAGCTCCAGGTAAAACCTCCCCCAGGTGTAGACTGGATTCTAGGACTTCTAAGAGACAGGCCAGGGCAGATACGGTCTCCTTTCTATCCCAGATCTGGGGAGAGGTGCATGGGGACCTGATGCCCTCTTAGGGCTGAGTTGGGCGAAAGACCTGGGACCAGAAGGATTTGGGGAACGTCCTGAACTCGCGCGGCCGAGGGAGGAGGGGCGGGTTTGGGGCATACCGGTCTCTGATTGGCTGCACTGCCCATCGCTCCGCCCCGTGTCCTATAAGACGCCCCCACGGCGGGTGCGGCGCCGGCGTGGGCACTGCGGCCGCCTCTCGCTGCTCTCGTGCCTGGCACCCGTCCTTCTCCAGGAGCGACAGCCGCAGGCCGCCGGGGGGCGGGGGATGCCGGGCTGCCGCATTAGCGCCTGCGGCCCAGGGGCCCAGGAAGGGACGGCAGAACCGGGGTCCCCCCCGCCGCCGCCCCGGGAGCCCCTGGCGTGCCCTGAACCCCCGCCCCCAACTCCGACCTTGACCCCGACCC